ATTCAATTTGCTTGGTGAACTATAAATTCAAAATTGTGAGTTTGCTCTTTTGCTATACTATATGAAAAACAAAAACTCCCAACGAAAAGATGTGTAAAGAAGAAGGGAAATGTGTCAGTTTATATTTATGAGTGCATCAGACACATATAATGTGCAGTTACATGACTGCTTGAGTTCACAAAAGTGCCCACGTTTGTGTGGGTGTGCGTGTGGGTGCATGTGTGCATGTGTGTAGGCATGCATGTAGTGAAGACCTTAGTTATCTGGTTTTAACATGCACAAAACCCTCAGCTCACTTTATCCACTAGCTCAGGAGAAAGTGCTTTAAAAGTCTCCTAAAGCACAAGTGAGGAAGGAAGCTTTGAAGAAAGGAAGATGCAAAATTTTCTGAAGATGCCAACTCACTGATGGGCAGAAGAGAAGGCCACATTGAGATTTGCCATGGCTATTAAAGACAGTCCCTACCAGGATCTAATCAAGGGGCGAGGGAAAAGTAGGAGGGCAAATAGAAGAAGACAGAATTGAGAGAATAGATATCAACTAATGTGGGAGGACGGGCTCAAGAGGAAAGGACCCGGAGGCAGGGAGTTCTGTGTGCTGTCCCTGCTCCTACCTGTCAATCCCAGTTCCACCTTTGAAGGCCCCTCTAGGAGAGGCCTGCACACTGACAGAGGTGCCCACCGAGCAATGTCTGGCTCCAGTCTTTCAAGTTCACTCTCCTGTATTCAATCACATGGAAGCCAGATGTTTGGAGATGCAGGGAGAGAATATTCTATAGAGATGGCCCTGTGGATAAGAGACGCTCATGTCCCATCCCCTTCGCCCCCCAGCCCTGGCCCCAGTTCCATTCCTGATTGCACTAAAACCTGTTTGGAAATCTGGAAAGGCCCTGTTCTGTCTCCACCCAATCAGATGAGTGTCACACACAGGCAATGCCCAGCCCTGTTTGAGTTCTTCACAGGTTTCACCTTTGATGATGGATTCTGGACCGCTGGGATTTATGCATTCTATTTTTTTTTTTTTTTTTTTTTGACAGGCAGAGTGGACAGTGAGAGAGAGAGACAGAGAGAAAGGTCTTCTTTTTCTGTTGGGCCGGCACACCGTGCTGATCCGAAGCCAGGAGCCAGGTGCTTCTTCCTGGTCTCCCATGTGGGTGCAGGGCCCAAGCACTTGGGCCATCCTCCACTGCACTCCCAGGCCACAGCAGAGAGCTGGACAGGAAGAGGAGCGACCGGAACAGAATCTGGCACCTCAACCGGGATTAGAACCCGGTATGCCAGCGCCGCAGGCGGAGGATTAGCCTAGTGAGCCGCGGCACCGGCTGGATTTATGCATTCTAGGTTTCCTTTATTTCTTTGTCTTGTCCATGAGTTATGCCCCTGTCTGAGATAAGCTCCTCCAGACTGGGTCTGTCTAACAGTTCACATCAGCTGTTCTCTTGTCTAGCAGGGACTAGTCCTGGCTTCCTGCTGGGGTTCATTGAGTGACCTTTCCTCCTGTCCACCCTTGTTGAATGCCACACTGTATGTTGATAGGCATAAGTTTCTGGAAGGCCTAAATGTAACCAACAGATGGTTGGATTCAGCACTTGAATTTAGTTGTCATAAATGTGGGTGTTTGAGAGCCCTTTCTTCCACAGAAATATTTTGGCCAGTTTTTCAAGGCAAGTGATGGATAAATTCACCATAGGGTATGTAAATTTTGAAAAGATTGAACTTTTGCTCTTATTGCTGCCCAAACACAAATTTTCTGGGAAAATATGTGAGAGCAGCCAGTCGCCAGAGCAACAAAGCTCAGTGTGAAAAACTGTACTGCAAGTGTGGTTTTCAGACACTGGCTGTGTTTCTGTAAGTAAGAACCAGCTGCCTGGTAAGGTTTCTTTCTCCAAATCTTTAAAAGCAGCTAGAGATTTTGTGTAATAAAATATATTTTAGAAAACTTATGTTATCACAAGAGGAAGAAACAAACCTGCAGAACAAACAATAAAAAAACAAGCAAAATCAATTCCAGTATGGGTCCTCGTGTGCGGCTTGAAGTGAGGCTGTTGGGCCTGTGACACGTGCTATGGAATACTCATCTTGTCTCCCTGTGAGATCTGCCTGTGTGTTTGGCATTACTGAACCTGGGAGGTTATTGACAATGCCAGTTGTGTGAACTGAGTGCAACTGACAGGATTTCAAGGCTAAGACTAACTTTTCTAATCCTTCTATTCCCCATTCTCTGCCTTAGGCCATGATGCCTCTACAAGGCCATGATGCCTCTACAAGGCCATGCAACATCATTGCTCCTCTGATGGGAGCTGTGCTCATTTCCTGAATGTCACTCAAAGTCTCCCTCTTGGAGAAGTTAGAGAAATTCAGGTTTCTCCTTCTGACCGGGTGGGAACGGGCTGTTAAGAATTTTCAGAGTAAGCTGAATGAAGATATTTTTTGCCACATGGGCTCAACTTTTTCACTTCTTTGCTGTTCAGATACAGAATGTGTAGTCCCTTTTCCTCTTTATTTTTATGTTATATTGATTCTTGAAATTGATGAACAATTAATTCTGAATTAAAAATGTATGTAGAGATCACTTGATCATTAATATTTGTTTATTATGTTTCATTTATTTGAAAGGCAGAGAAACAGAGACAGACAGAGATCTTTCATCCACTGGTTCACTCCCCAAATGCCCTGAACAGCTAGATTGAAGTCAGGAGCTAGGAACTCAATTCAGGACTCCCAAATGGAAGATAGGAACTCAGATACTTGAGCCACCACCTGCTGCCTCCCATGGGCATTAGCAGGAAGCTGGAATCAGAAGCAGAGCCAGGATTCAAACCCACACAACTTAGATATGGGATGAGAGCATCCTAAATGACATTTCAACCAATGCACGAAGCAACTGTCCAAGAATATATTAATAAAATAAAATCATCAATGTTGAACAACAGGTATATGCTGGGAATACAATAGACCAAGTCCCTGCTTTCCTGAAGCTTATATCCTTGTGAGTGGAGAAAAATAAAATAATTTACTATATAAATACTAAATAAATTTACTATATAAATATGTAATGTGGCAAGCAGTGGTATGTACTAAGAAAAAAATAGAGCAATGTCAGAAGATAGAAATGATGGGTGTTGGGGAGTAGAGTACTATTTTACAGTGGTGGTCCAGGAAGGCTTCTTAGATGAGATGCTAGCTGAGCAGAAGTCTGAGGGCTGTGAGGGAGTGAGCCATGCTGATATCTTGAGGAAGAGAGATCCAGGCAGAGAAAACAATTACTGGTTGAACATCCCATCTCTGAAATGCTTGAGACCAGAAATGTTTCTGATTTCAGATTTTTTTTTCTAGGTTTTGGATAATTGCATATACCTAATGAGATATCTTGTGGATGGAACCCTTTAGACTCCCAAGTCTAAAAATGAGCATTTTTAAAAGATTTTTATTTATTTACCTGAGAGACAGAGTCACAGAGAGAGGGAGAGACAGAGAGAAAGGTCTTCCACCTGCTGGTTCACTCCTCAGATGGTCTCAATAGCTGGAGCTGGGCCACTCTAAAGTCAAGAGCCTGATCTCCCACGTGGGTGCAGGGGCCCAAGGAATTGGGCCATCTCCCATTGCTTTCCCAAGCTATAGCAGAGAGCTGGATTGGAAGAGGAGCAGCTGGGATATGAATAGGTAGGCATATAGGATGCTAGCTCTGCAGGGTGGAGGCTTAGCCTACCATGCCACAGTGCTGGCCCCCAAGATGAGCATTTTTTGTTTCACATACCCCTTATACACTAAAGGTAATTTTAGGAGTGTGCCTGTGTTAAACTGTGACCTATCATATGAAGTCAGAAGAGGAATTTTCCACTCATGTCATCCTGTCAGTGTTAAAAAAAAAACAGTTCTGGATTTGGGGGCATATCAGATTTTGGATTTTTGGATTAGGGATACTCGACCTGAAGTTAGAAGCCCCAAGACACTGAGCAGAGGAGGTGGAGGCTTGAGGAGAAAGGGGCACTTGTGAAATGGAGAAGAGCACATGGCTGACGTCAGTGTTGCTCTCACTTGCCTATGTGTCAGACGCGCCTGTGGGGCTTGGTTGAAACACTGCTTGCCTCACTGTGCAAGTCTGTGGTTCACAGGTCCCAGGGAGACACCTAAAAGTTTGTAGTTTTGACAAGATCTCTGCTGATGCTGATGTTACTGCAGATCCAGAGACCAGAGTTGGGAGCCACTTTATGGGGAAAATCAGTTAGAATGGACAACTGGGGTGGCAGGAAAGGCCTCCTTGCACCTGGTAGTCATGCGTGTGAAGTGAATGTTGCCAGCATGATTGTGTGTCTTTCTACAGACCTGTTTAGCAGCAGAAGAGCTGGCAGCAGCAGGCACATAGTTGGGTTTAGCCAGAATAAAAGCAAAGTATATATATATCACCAATTTATATCACTTGGGAGCTTTTGCCTGTGCAGTCTGTATATTCTGAAAATGTTACTTGTACATCCTTTATTTTAAATAGAAAAGATCAGAGAATCTGAGATTGAGAAAAAGGAACATGAAAATCTGTGGTTGAGGTGTACTGTTTTAGGCCTTAGAAGTAAAATGGAATAATGTCCACCTCTGGTCTTCTAAATAACTATTAACCACACTCTTCTGAAACCACACAATTCTGAAAGACTAAGATTTTTTTTATCGTAAAGATTATATCACAAACTGAAGTGTTAGAAGTCGACATTGTTCTTTGAAGATATTTGAAAATATTTGTATCCTACTACAAAAAAATTACGTGGTTAAGCACAGAGCTTTGCACACAAGAAATGGGTATCAGGCTGTGTAGGAAGAGGAGAATTCAGTTGTTGGAATGAAGCCCAGGTTTCATTAATCAGAAGAGAAAGAAAAGAGCTGACTTCCATAATAAGGAAAAGTCTGAACTCAGAACATATAAGACATCAATTTAAATATAGTATGGGATATTTACATTGAGTTTTAATGTGACTGATAGTTTTCTTTCCATTTTAAAACAACCAACAGATTTTGTTGGAACCAGGTGTGATCCAGGATGTGTTGGCAGCTGGAAGTCACCTGCAACTGTTGGAACTTCTCAATTTGTGTTCCCACTATCTCATCCAGGTATGTGACCTTGCACCCTGCTGCTGTGCCCTTCACATTCCTTTCCCCTACTGTAGTAAGTTGCTCCGAGCCCACCACTGGAGCCCAACAGTAAAAGAGTAGGGGTAGGGGTGGCCTGTGGTGGCAGAACTTCTGAAACAAGCTCCATGGCGGTTCTTGGGTCCTCTTACAGAAGTGGACATTTCCCTCACACCCCTTGCCCATCCCAGGTCCCCACTATCTTTGGGCAGCCAATTAACTTAACAGTCACACAGAGTTCCCAATGTGGCCCTTGGGGGATGACACTGGAAAGGGTTCTGGTGTGAAACGGTGTTGTCTGGTTATACAAATAACCACACAGGCAAGAGAAGTTGAGTTGTTGAACGTTACAGTACTGTTAATGTGTCATGATGTATAATTAATAATCCTATGAATGTCCTCAGCAGTATTCTGGTCATTCCTCTCTTGATTTGCTGGCTGGTCAGGAAAGGCTCCCAAACACCAGGCATCTGCTGTGTGTTCAGAGCTGACTCACGTTCAGCCCTCACAACAACCTTGCTTGGTTTTACAGATAAGAAAGTCAGAGGCTCCCAGTGCATCCCATTGTTGCTTAGGAGGCTTGCACCTTTCTGATTCTGAAGACTGTTTCTCTTGTTGGATGAAACTCTTGGTTTGGTTGGAAGGCAGAGGCCATTTATGCAGACAGTGTGGCTGTGAGACGCTTTGATTTTACAGAGAGAAGAACTAATTTTCTATTTTAGGATCCTCTGGTTTTCCCCGCTGGTCTGACTTTCGCTTGCATTTATTACAGCATTCTAACAACAGTGAAAATTAATTTAAAAAATACATCCACACAATTTAATTCTATCTTTGTGTATATGACATGGTTATTAGGGAGCAGAAAAATCTTATTTTCCTGCCCAATTACTTTATTTTCCTCCATTATCATTTTCTCGGATTCTAAATATGCCTTTCATCATTAGTTTCTGTTACCCATTAGGTAGTCTACAAAGCTCTTTCTCATATAAAGCATCTTATTTCATCTTTCCAGTAACCCTGGGAAATAGGAACCAGTACTTCCCAGGGAGACTGTGAGGAATGCCAGCCCTATTCATTCAACAAGCAATTCAAATACAGCATATGAAATTTTTATCCTTATCTCACCAGGTTTAGTCTAACAGTAAATGTTTAGCTATTTTTATCTTATTTTCCTTTCTTTCCCCCACAATATTGTTGGTTGGAATGGGAAAGCTGTTTTTAATTCCTTTCTGCCAGTAGCAAATGGGAATCACAGAGAAAGGTTACAAGATTTCAAATGTGTGTTTGACTTGTGAAATTGAAATTACATTTGTTTGACATTTCTACATCAAATATTGCAGTGTGAACTTTGAGCATCATAACCTGCATTTTTCCCATAGCAGATAATAATCAGTGATACACATTGACAAAGGTTGGGTGAAAGTGTTAATTATCATGATATGTATTGTAAGTTGTATAGACACATACAAGTGAGTATGTTTGTGTACTTATACCTAGATTTGTCAATACATGAGAATTCCAGATGTACGTCAGAAATTCATGGGTATTTTCTTGTACAACATTAGTTGGATTTATTGAGTTACTAAGTGACTTATGGACTTTGGGATTTAACTCATTATTTTGCTGAAGAAGAAGTATAAATTACATATCAACAAATTTTGTGAACAGTTATTACTTAGGCTTCTTGGATGGTGGTTGAAACTCCCACCATGTTTTCACAAATATGTTTTCCCTTCACTCTCTTGTTTGATTTTATTTTTCCTGTTTGTAATTTTTGCAAAATGTCAGACTTGTAGAAGAATACTTTGACCAAAGGGAACCAAAACCATATATGTTCAGAAATGTTTATTACCTTAGTCTTAAAAAAATATACCCTTCTCTCTTAGGATTTTAAAATAACCAGAATAGTTCATCTGCTTTTATAATTTGATACAATCTTTCTTTAAAAAAAGAGATTTATTTATTTATTTGAAGAGCAGAGTTAGAGAGAGAGAGAGATCAAGAGATCTCTTCCATCTGCTGGGTCACTCCCCGAGATGGCTGCAACAGCTGAGGCTAGGCCAAGCCAAAGCCAGGAACCGGGAACTCTCTCCGGATCTCCCATGTGGGTGGTAGGGACTCAAATACTTGGGCCATTTTCTCCTGCTTTCCCAGTGCATTAGCAGGGAGCTGGATCAGTAGTCGTGCAGCCAGGACTCCAACTGGTGCTCATATGGGATGCCAGGATTGAAGGGGGTGTCTTAATCCACTGTGACACAATGCTGGCTCCTTGATGCAGTTGTAAACTGTACCTATCTGCTATTTGGGGGCAATATTGTTCCAGAGATTGTTAATTTTACTTGGGGACATTTTATTGAGCATATAAAAAATTTTTGTTAAAATTACAAAAACAACCTTAAATGCTTAAAATGTACTTAGAATTTGTGCCTTATCAATCAATTCTAATCTATCCTATTTAGTACTCTGTCCAATTAAAAGTTTTTTAAACCATTCTCAGTAAAATGTTCTGTATCATTTTGTCATTCTTAAATTTCCATTATCTTTGGCTTTCCTACCAGATGTATTAAGGGTAGATTCTTGCTGTAGAACCCCCTGTTGTTCCCCAGGATCATTAAAATGTATGTCTGGGGGCAGACATTCAACCCAGTGGTTAAGCTACCAACTGGTATGCCCACTTGCCATATCAGAGAGCCTGGGTTCAGTGCCCTTCTCTGGCTCCTGATTCCAGTTTCCTGCTAACGTAGACCCTGGGAGGCAGCAGTGCTGGCTGAAGTACTCGGATCCCTGCCACCCACTTGGGAGACCTGGATTTTGTTCTCAGCTCCCAGATTTGGCCAGGCCCAGCCTGGGACATTGCCAACATCTGGGGAGTGAACTAGCAGATGAGAGGTCTTTTTCTATGTCTATCAGCCTGTCCCTCTGTGTCTCTGCCTCTCAAATAAATAACATTTTTAAAAAGCATGTCCAAAAAACATCCTTAGTGGAGGCTTCCTGAGTCTTGTTTGCCTTCAGCCATTGCCTTGGCCAAAGCTTCTCTGAACACAAGTGAAGCTGCCGCTTTCTGTAAGAGAAGAAATGGACACCTTGAGGCCACTGTGTGGATCTCTTGTCTTGCTTTCCCCCCTGGTAGCCTGCCAAGGGCAGAGACCCCAACCAGAAGTGGGAGAGTTGTGTCCCTCGGCATGAGAACGACTCCTGAATTAGCCCACTAGGCTTTGAGGTCTTCACACAGGTTCCAACGCGTGTTTGGGGAGAAAATGGAAGGGCTGGCAGTGAACGAGCTGCCAACTGACGAGGGACTGGGCAATGGCTGGCTGGAATAGCTCCTCATTTCCAGATAAGGGATTTACAAAAACTCCTCGAGTTTTCACCCTGTCTGACCTGCTTTGCAGTGGAATTTCACAAGATGCTGTCCTAGGTCGCCTGTCGGACTTTCCTATGCTTTTTGAGATCCACAGCCTAGATGGAATCCAGGTAAAACGTGGATGCTTCTTTTGCTCTTCCTTGTCCTTTTAAGACATTCATCAGAAGGAGACACCAATTAATTAAAGAGCCATTCCTGGTTCTAAAACGGACCCAGTAAAGTGCTTGAACTACCTTGATTTTCAGAATATGCTTACATTTCATTATCTTAAATTTCATAAAGGAAACCCTAGGAGACCACTTTCTGGTGGGACAGCCTTCTGCACCACCGTTATCTGCTCGTTTACTGAGGTAGAGCCATTCTGTCTTGCAAATAACACACCTGTTCTTTTCTCTGTCTCGAATCTTTTGCCTTTCCTTAGGCTCACTTTTCTTGCCTATGTGTCCTAGTTAGTTCATAACGCCCTCCTAACGGGTCTGCTTGTTTCCAGCCTCTCTCCTTGCCAAACTTGAGTCCCCAGAGCATCGTTATCTTTCCCAGGGAAGTGAACCGCTGTTTACTGAGGGCCTCACAGTGCTGAGTGTTTCGCTAGGACTCTAATGCACACTCTGCTAAGTAACTCATTAAGGCAGGTGGGTATTATTTTTCATTTGTGGATGGAGAAATTTAAATTCAGAACAAGGATGTTAGTCTGGTTTGGAAAGTTCCACTTGAGGACCATCCAAGTGCATTCTTTCACCTATAGAAATCCTTAGCCTCGTCTGCATGGCCTGGCCTGTTGCTCTCTGGCCTCATCTTTGGGTACAGTGCCTTTCCTGCTCTCCTGGATCCAGACCCGAAGGCAGATCTTTGTCTTAGGAGAAGATAAGGTAGTGGAGCTCCTCAGAGGCAGGCAGAGCCTTTCAGTACCCATCATATTGCACCAGGAGGCAGGAGCAGGGAAATCTCATACATGCACGCACCTTTCTCCTCTGTTGATGTCCCTAAGAGGCCATAAGATTAAGGATCGAAGATTAAGGATCGCTGATACTGGCTTCTGCACTTTGTGTTGTATCCCCTGGAAATGATGCTTTAGGAGCCACATGTGATTTGCTGAAGGTGTCTTTTATTGTGGCTAGCTTTCAAAAAAGGAAACATTTTGTACCACCTGTTCCAAATCCCACTTCTTATTGTTAAATTAACAAGGGTTCTTTATGTCCACAAAGTATCACATCCTTTACGATGATATGCAACATAAATGTATTAATAAAAAAGAATCACCATGTAGACTTTTCAAATAAAAATCATCAAAGTGGTGAATACTCAAATTCCCACGATAGGAATATGTTTCCAGTACCTATTTCTGGGCAGCAGGTGGCAGTGTGAATCCATCAGAATTCAGTAGGTAATTTAAAGCAAGAATTGGAAAAAAATGAAAAGAAAAATTATTTATTTTGCTACATATTAGTCTTCTGACCTAATCAGTAAAAAAGTCATTATTCACACCACACTGGGCAATATGCATTGTAATTTTTAACAAATAATAGGAAACTGTTAATGTGTTCACAGGAAATACAGTTTTGTCTTGGGCTGCTGTGGTCATTTATCACTGCACTTTGTGAAATCACTCATTTGTTCT